AAAGGGGGTCTCCGGGAATGGAGCATAGTGGGCCCCCTCCCTGCCCAGGGCTGGAGAAGCTGGCTCGTTAGCAGATGCTCCCGGATGAGCAAATTCCCTCCTGCATCCCCACCGCCAACCCCGGCACCGGCAGAGCTTTCCCGGCTGGCCAGGAGCCTAATCCCATTATAATTGCCCAGCACCAGAGCCAGGAGCCGCCTGGCATCGCCATCGGGGTGGCCTTCCTGGGGACCGTCCCCCCGCAGCATCCCGTGGAGCCCCCACCGAGCCCCCCCGGGACTCACCTCCCCAGCACCGCCTGGTGGCCTCGGGCACTGAGGTTTAATTACCCCGCGCCCTCGAGTAATGCCGGCGGCCAGGACACCCTTGGCCGGCAACGCGGGGCAATGCTGGGCTCTGCCTGCTAGGCTGCGAGCAGCGCCACCCGATTACACACTCTGCAAAGCCAAACTTCCCCCGTGAAGCCAAATTTGGGCTGAATGTGCAGCTCCGGCAGCTTGCCCATGCCTGTGCCCTCGCTGGGTGGCGTGGCTGCATCGCTGTCCCCATCAGACAGGGATGTCCCTGCCCATCAGCACAGGGTCCATCACCGTAGCCAGGGTCAGTCTCCAAAGCAAAGGTGAGATTTTGGGGGTCCTCAATAAACTGAGCATCCTGGGGAGCTTGCTTGGCCCACCCCAGCCCCCAAATCCCTCTGATCCCCACAAACATCACCAGGGTACCAGCACAAAGTATTAATGTCATTAGAACCCACGCCGGTCTCCTCCCCAGGTGCACCACTGCTGCACCCCCAAAACCTATTACAGGCGCTCTCACCTAATTAGTTTCTAATTATGGGCTTGCAGCGCATTCAACATAATTAGCATGTAAATTACACGGCGTGTTTATATTCAATAACCGCTTTCCCCCTGGCTGGCGGCGGCAGCGCCTTTCGGGAGCCCTTTCTTTGCATGGGGGTGAATGAATTCACTCCGAATGCCGATGGAGAAGTCCAGTGCTGATCTCAAGGGAGCCCAGCCCTGCAGGGATACATCTCGGCTCCATCCTGGAGCGGTTTATTCCAGACAAATTTAAAGAGCATCCCAAATTCTAGGGATGCTCCTCCCTAATTTTTTCCCTGCATGAAATCTGGAATGCAGTTTTCCAGGTACCCAGCGGAGGAGAGGGATGGGGAGCGATGCCGGGAGAGGGATGGGGGGGCTGGATGTGTCCCCTCAGTGTTTAGAGCATTTGTTGTTACTGAGGCTGATCAAAGAGCTGGGTGGGTCGCCCGACGAAAGCAGAATTGCTTATTTGTTTGAGCGTCACTCCACTTCCCCTTGATGGGTTATTTATGATGTAATTAAGCTAATTACATGTAATAAGAGAGTTTCCATGGCCCCCAGCCAAGCTCTTTTCCCATTTAACCAATTCACAGGTGGGAGGAAACCGAAGCTGCCTTGCTGGGGCTCGGCAGATGAAATGGCTCCGGCTCCTGCTCGCTGCCTTCCACCCCCGACCATCTCCAGCCCCCCCGGAGCATTCCCTCGCCCTGCAGCACGGGACAGGTGCCACGGCCGCCCGGGTCAAGCCCCTCGGGGTGGTGGCGGGCTTCTCCCCGGCCATTGCTGCTGGACAGTTGGGCACAGGCCAAAACACAATTAAAAAAAAAAGGAAAACCACATTTTTTCAGCCAAAACCGCTGATTCATCCCTCGGCGATCCTGCCCGCAGTGCTGGCGGGGGAATGTGCTCCAGCAAGCATCGCTGGCAGGGGGGACCCTGTCCCCACCGAGCATCCCTCGGCAACCGTGACCCCAGTCCCCATGGGGGAGCTGGGCCAGGGTCTGCTCCAGCAGCAGGAAAAGCCCCTTGGGAAGGAGCCCAGCTTCAGAAAAAACACTTTCATCCCTCAAAAGCAAAGGGCTGAGCTGAGGGGTCCCCACTCGCTGCCTTTGGGCCTTTTTAAATAAATTTTTTAACCTTATTTTCCAGCATGGGAAGGCGGCTGCTTTTCCAGGCCCTTTGCTTCGTGCCAAAACAGCAGCAGCTGGGGGGCCAGGGGCACTGGAGCCAGGGGGACATACGGGTTCCCCGGGAAGGGACATGCCTAATTTGAGGGATAACGAGCTTATTAGGTCCTGGCTTGGCGGGGCGCGGAATTGCGCGGGGGTTT